GGTGCCTTACTTCCGAAAAGTAGGAACAATTTAAAAAGGAGCATATCATAAGTGCCCAGAAAGACTCTAAATAACAATAAAACATTTGACGGGGATCAACCACCATCCTGCCCCAAGGCATGGGAGCGTAGCTATGTTTTCCATGACTTTTTAAACATCAACAGGGGGAAGCTAGATGGATCTCTGGGGGTTGCACAGTTATACAGCTGTGTAGCTCTGTCAAAGGAACCCTCACTCCAGTGAGGGTTCAAACACAGTTATCTTTCAAAGAATTCATGAAGTGAATCAACTATGATCCACTCGGGTTGAGTTAGTTGCTTCAATGCGTTGGGCATACCCAGAAAGGAAGTTAATTCAATAACCAACTTTTGCATCTTCTGTGAACTCTACCCTTTAGTAGTTGAAAGGGAAAAAATAGGTAACATGGAGACAATACGTTCTGCAGAATGTTATGCAAGCAACTGGTATAACGTAGTGTAAAACAACGTCAAAGAAGTGCAACTTAATCTTTTTCCCAGCTAGGCACCAGGTGATTTTTTTCCTTTGGTACAAGCATCTGCACTTGCCTCTTGATCCAATCCATTTAATTCTAAGATCCAAAGACCCTAAATTAATAATCCTCTTAGACTATAGGACAAGCCTGGTGCTCCCTGTTCTGTTCTCCCCCAGCTTAGAAACAGGCAGCCGAATCTTGAAACCACTTCTGTTAGAAGCAGAATGGGCTGTTGACATTTAAAACCCATCCACTTGAAGGAATACCCAAGATTCGCTTGCAAGGTAAGTATTTGTTTCTATTTGCAGTATCAAACCCACAAGGCCTACAGTTATATGGCAGAGATTTATGATACAAGGACTCACAGGTTGAAGCCTGGGAGAAAAATTGCGGAAGCTTCATTTAATAACTTTTCTCTCTCCATTGTGTTTATTTGTTGTTTGTTTTCAAGCTTTAGTCTGCTTTTTAACATTTTGAGCTTCTGAAATGTCCTGAAACGTCCTAAATTTTACATCAGGATGATTCAAGGTAACAACATTCTTAGGTATATGAAAGAAAAACCACTGTGTTGAAGAATTGTAGTCCCAATACTTCTAGGAGATACCCCACCTGGAAAATGTAAGACTTGCCAATGTGCATTTTTCTTGAATGGGTAGTTAAATGCATTGGTAATCTGCCAGCCCAGAATGAGACCTTTGCATAATTCAGAGTAAAATTGACAATGTAAAACAAGAAATGATTTGGAAATTCACAGCCAAGTACATGCTTAGGAATTGTGACTGAGAAGGAAAAGGCAACAGATTCATAAGAGCTTAGCAAATGAGGATTCTCTAGCTTCACTCTGCCCCCACCTCAAATTCTACCACTTTTCCTGCCTAAAAGGATAAAAAAGGAAGAAAATAAGAATCAGAAGGGCTAAATTTTCACCAGTTCAAAAATTATTTACAATCCTCTGTACATTTATTTATAGAAACATCATAATCCATAACCTGGTCCCCTCCATTCAGACCAGAATAATTTTACTTAATCTTGCAACTCCTGATATGAACCAGTTATTACAAAGAAACCATCTTCTCTTTCTGCAAAATCTGGGTGTTTCCAGACAAAGCTTTGATGGCCCAACCACCTTGTTCCAAATGCTGCATTTCACAGTGGTTAAATAAATATTTTATAAATAAAATAAATACCATTCCTGCCTTGCATTCCCATTCCCATTCCCACCCCACCCCTGTAAAATTCCATTGTTGCTGGTTGCTAGTGCTTGGATCAAGAGTGAGTGAGTCAAATCTCTTTCGGAAGTTCCAATAGGAACAGTTTTCAATATAAGCTGTCTTTGCTTCCTTTGGAGTGTGGATGGGCATAACTGAACTGAGGCCCAGCCCTTCACACAAAGCTAACATTTGATGAAATAATTACATTTTTGTCTGACCATTCTGTCTCTCTCAATCCCTCCCCCTCCATGCCTTATGAGGGGCACCTATGAAAACTATGCAGCAATTTATTCACAGAATTGGTGGAAAGATCGAGATGAGTTTATGTAAAGAATTATAAATGTGGCTGTGGGAGAGAGCATCTGGGGATGTTAGGTGTTAGCATTTACACATGTTATGCCATTATAATGCATACTATTGTATACTGCTGTGTTGTTTTTAATACTACACACACACACACACCATTCTGAGCCATTAGAAGTAGATCCCCATAGAAATGTTAGTTAATAAATGACTGGGACAGTGTTATCTACTATGTATTAACAACCTCCTCAACATATGCCCACTTTCACACTTTTCATTAGCATTAGGATTTTGAAACCTGGTCTTGACTTTTCATGCATGCTTGCAATGGAGAAAAAAGCAATTTGATGACTCTGATGAACAGCCACAACCTTTCTCTTCAACAATGGCATCTGTTCATATTCAGTTTATTTCAAACATTTTCTTTTCTACCTGTCCTGTTCCTTGATTTCCTTTCTGTCAGCACCTTGGACAGCAGTCTAGCTTTCAGGTCCTCCTTTCCTCCCCTCCCTCCCACTCCCAGCAGAGTAGGAATAAAAAATAAAAACCTTTAGGGTTTAGTTCTTTTTTTAAAAAAAGCTGTTGTTCATCAGGGACACCTGGTCAGATATAACCAATGAGAAAGGATAGACTTGTAGACAAATTCTTGACCAATTTTTGGGAGTGCAAGAAGTGGTTACCCAGGCTAAGACCGTCCTGCTGAATGGAGAGACTTAAATCCAACCATGGATCGGTAGATAAGGGATCTCCATTGTGTCAAAGGAAGACATGTGAGCAATAAAGTATATTGTTAGATCCTTTGGGATTAAGAAAGGACCCCTGATTGTGTGGTGGCTATGGACGAAATACAGAAATAGAAAAGCCATGGTATCTCAGGGATTCTTTCAGCCAGAAAAATACTCACCGTGGTTTCGTCTTCATGAAGTACCTGGTCATACCCACTCAGTGCGACACAGAAAATGATTGCCGTGACATCCTCAAAACAGTGGATCCACTTCTTGCGCTCTGATCTCTGACCCCCAACATCAAACAGCCTTAAGGAGAAACAATGAAAACTCTTTGTTATTGTCTTGCACAAAAGAGGATAAACATCTTCACGTGAAGGCCATACTTGTCCTCAGAATGGCAGGTCAAGGGCAGCAGCACTCCCAAACGGAGGCAGGAAGGACAAAGATGTGGATTAGACATGGAGCAAAATTAACATTCACAGAAGCAATCTGCTTATAACCCATATGAGTCATTTCCCCTTCTGTTGTCCTTGCCATCTTTTATCTTTTTTCCTTTTATTGGTTTTATTGTAATTTCTTTGTTTTAATTATTGTGAGCCACCCAGAGTTGTTGGGAGTCTGGCGGCATACAAGTTTAAAGCCAAATAAATAAATAAATAAATAATAAATAAATAAATAAATAAATAATAGTTGTTGTTGTTGTTGTTGTCGTACACCACCCAGAGTCACCTTGTGTGAGATGGGTGGCTATATAAACATGATAAATAAATAATAATAATAATAATAATAATTATTATTATTATTATTATTATTACATTAAAAATGGAGAGGTCATTTCTGGGGGGCCAAACCAAAGACTTCATGATTATATTTGGATTTCAAATTATGCATCTCTACTTTAAGTCCAGATTACAAAATGAAATAGTTTGGGGTGAAACCCAGATGACATATATTAGGATCAAAGTAGACAGTGCCATTTTTAAAGTTCATGCTTAGGAGTCTTCCTTGCTGCCCCTATTTCCAGTTAGTCCAATTCATGAATCTGTGCAATGAAGTCAGATTAATTTTGTGCTTGGAAATGGTTACTGGTACAAGAAATGAATTAAAAGATAGACTACTGCAATGCGCTCTACATGGGGCTACCCTTGAAGAGTATCCGGAAGCTTCA